GGGGGGGCCTAGAATAATGTCTAGAGATTTGAGGCTTAAAGAAAATATGTTGCTTTAAGTAAAATTGTATTCATTCCCTTTCTTTTCCTTTTGATTTGCTTTACTTACCCAAGCTCTTTAGTCCTTAAGCTGTCCAAAAGTTTCATGTTGCAGGTCTTTTGGATTCAGATTTCCATTGAAAGTTTGAAGCGTTCCATTGAGATTGAATGATTTTGCAAGTCTTTGGATTCAGATTTCCGTAGAAATTTAAGAAGCTAGTTCTATTTCCATTGATTCATTCCCTTTTATTGTAAATAGTATTCCAGATGTCTTCAAAGTTAGGTTTCTTGATTCCTTTAATTTTAGTATTGCCAGAGTAGCTCCAGAGGTAGCTAGCTAAGGATTCCTTATTTATTGGTCAATTGATTGGTTTTCTTATATATTATATTGGAGGGCTTGGTTGTTGAGAGGGGGGAGTTTATGAATCAATGGACTACATTACCTATCCCATAAGTACCACTGTAGGGTCCCCATAAGGTCTCTCGACCTCTTTTTGTCGCTCATACGGAGGAGTCTAGGGTCGAACCAATTTTTAGGTTTGACCCTGAAAGGAGGACCATTTTCCAAATAGGCGGTGGTTTTCCGCTGCCAGGGAGTGTAAATGTACTAGAACCTGAGTCACCCTGCCCAAATATGTTGCTTTTCCTATCAAGCCAGGGGTCAAATGGGTGATATATGATATATCATGTTGTTGTTCTTTGTTTTTCCACAATATCCTGGACCTTCAATTGATGCCAACAATGGGGTAGGACCAAAAACAGGCACAGAAGCCCCTATGCGGCAAATGCCTAAAACGTTTGGATGCGTTTGAAGGTTCAGTAATACTACGCAGATTCTTCAGGTCTTCTCCTACCAAAACACTCCGTGCATGAAACATTTGCTACATTGGACCTACATTGGAGGGGCAAATGTAGGCATACCCATTGAGTGTGTGGGTATTGATCCGACCCCACCCACAAAGATTGGTGGCTGAGGTGGGAACTGGAAGTCATGGAAGAGTTGAAAGCCAACCCTATCATACAGTGCTACAGGTCAGTGAACGACCTCATGAAGCACTGGAGTCTATCATAGAAACACTCTACTGAACATGAAGGTTTAAGGACCAGGAGACTGGACGGGCACTGAAGAGCGTGCACTCTGGTGACCACTGCGGTGCAATTCACCACCTTTGAGGGTCCCAAAACAGCGCCAGGAAGGTCCTAGTTGCCAAACTCAAGGTCGCTTAAGGTTGAGACCTCCCAAATAACGGTCCCCTTCTAACATAGGACATCTCACGACCAGTGTTCTCTTGAAATGGAAAGAACTTTTTAAGCTTCTTCGAGACCCATGTCACATGTCTTTCCCGGATTCAGTGTCAGGAAGCTGGATCTACTCTACTAGGTCGAGTTGGGTAGCAGTCAGTTTGAGCTACCCCGAGGAATGCGCACTGTTTGATGACAAGGGTCTCACTTGCGACACCAAAGCGGACTCATTTGCGACACCAAACAACAACAACAACTACTACTACTACTACTACAACTACTACTACTACTACTACTACTACTACTACTACTACTACTACTACTACTACTCTTCGAGTGATCCCCACCATGACATTTCAATCATTTGTCTTGATGCCATTAGTATTGTAGTTCTCGATGTTGCTTGTGGGTCCTCAGGTTGTGCGCTGTGGTTGTGTGCTGTGTTGTGGTTGTGGTTGTGTTTGCGGTTGTGTGTTTGTGGGTGTGTTTGTGGTTGTGTGTTTGTGTGTTTGTGGTTGTGTGTTTGTGGTTGTGGTAGCGCTTGTGATTGTGTGTTTGTAGTTGTGGTTGTGGTTGCGGTTGTGTCTTTGTGATTGTGTGTTTGTAGTTGTGGTTGTGGTTGTGTCTTTGTGATTGTGTGTTTGTAGTTGTGCTTGCGGTTGTGTGTTTGTGGGTGTGTTTGTGGGTGTGTTTGTGGTTGTGTGTTTGTGTGTTTGTGTTTGTGTGTTTGTGGTTGTGTGTTTGTGGTTGTGTGTTTGTGTGTGTGTGTTTGTGGTTGTGTGTTGTGTGTATGTTTGTCGTTGTGTGTTTGTGATTGTGTCTTTGCAGTTGTGTTTGTAGTTGTGCGTTTGTGATTGTGTTTGTAGTTGCGTGTTTGTGATTGTATTTGTGATTGTGTTTGTGATTGTGTTTGTGATTGTGTGTTTGTGGTTGTGTGGTTGTGGTTGTGTGCTGTGGTTGTGTGCTGTGTTTGTGGTTGTGTTTGTGTTTGTGGTTGTGTGTTTGTTGTGTTTGTGGTTGCGTGTTTGTGGTTGTGTGTTTGTGGTTGTGTGTTTGTGGTTGTGTGTTTGTGGTTGCGCGTTTGTAGTCGTGTGTTTGTGATTGTGTGTTCGTGGATTTATCTGGCAAACTATCTGGTTGAGGTCCAGCGGTGCACACTGCGATCGGATCCTTGCGGTTGAGGTCCAGCCGTGCACACTGCGATCGGATCCTTGCGGTTGAGGTCCAGCGGTGCACATTGCGATCGGATCCTTGCAGGCGTGCACACTGCGATCGGATCCTTGCGGTTGAGGTCCAGGGATGCACACTGCGATCGGATCCTTGCGGTTGAGGTCCAGGGGTGCACACTGCGAGGGGATCCTTGCGGTTGAGGTCCTTGCGAAGGAGGAAGGAGGAGGACGAGGAGGCGGCGGAGGCGGAGGCGGAGGCGGAGGCGGAGGCGGAGGCGGAGGCGG